TTTTTTTTTTTTTTTTTTTGGGCCAGCTTTAGCTCTGGGGCCTCGCTGCTGAAAACATAGATACAATGTTGCGGTCCGAGCCCGGCTGAATGGAAGCCCTTTTCTGGGGTTTTGTTTAGCTTCTTATTTGCAACATAGTATATAGTTGCTTAGAGTTGCAACTGAGAGGCTGGCAAGTGAGGCGGGGAACGTTGGAATCTGCAGCAAGCAAGCCTCATGCTCGCTTCAGTGCCTGGCTGCCGGCCGCCATCTTGGCTGACAGTTAATTTGCATATACTCACTGATTAGCCAATGAAAAGGGTAGCGGTCATACGCTAATTACCATGTTTCTCTTTTATTAGTGTAGATAGATAGATTTTTTTTAACTTTTAGAATCAACTTATGGCAAAGCAGAGAAGGCCTGTGGAGGCTGTAGGAGGTAAATATTCAGGACCTAACACAGGAAGTGAAGTGTAGTTCATGGAAGTTAGGTCATGGACGCGTGACATGGACAGGACTGGGGGACCATTTTCACCTTACTAAGTGAGGTGTCAATATATACTGTCTGAAGTTGATTTATTGAGAAATAGGGGTTTAAATGTATCGTTTTAAAATTAAATTTAGCCCATACAGAACCAAATGTAAAAATATACATGTCAAGTATTGAAGAATGAGGGTGGAATCAATAAGTGCCAAATACTTATCTTTCAAATTAGGGAGTCTATAGCTATTATCTACACTAGTTAAATTAAATACACACACACACACACACACACAGAGATATCAGCATTTTATCTACAGTTATTAAGGTACCAAAAAAGAACTAAACACTGAAGGAGTTATATGTTTGTCCTTGAGGAGTAGACTTAGGAGGAATTGCTCCTTGGCTTTTGTCAGAGACTATTCAGTGCTATTTAACCAAACTGCTAGTTTGGTTTCCCACAGAAGTAAATCTTGGACTAGGACTTGAAGGCACATTGTCCACTGGGGATGTGAGGAACACTGCACAGAGTGGGGGAAATGATACAAGAAAGAAAGAGAACCAACAAAGACTAGGTTATTAAACCAGCTACCCTAGTGGGCAACTAGAGTGAATTCCAGGGGAAACTAAAAATATAGCACAATCCAATCTCATACTTACCTCACCTGAGAAGCAAGGGAGCTAGGGGTATGTGTACATCAGGCCCCAACAGTCATAGGCTGATAACTTCTCCCAGGGCCTGCTAATTTCCCAACACCTCTGGCCCACTGCACGGGAGAGGGCAGAGCGGCCTGCTGTGTTTCTAGAGAGAAGGTATCAGGCACAACATACACATGCTGTCAGTTGGCAGTCATGGGGCCCAGAAAGGACCAGGGATCTGGGTGGGGTGTCAGCCACACTAGCCATGTATACACGTTACTTTGATTAAAAAATAATCAAACAACCCAGTCGGCACGACTCAGTATTGAAAGTCAACCTTTGAATGAACCAGGAGGTCACAATTTGATTCCTGGTCAGGGCACATGCCTGGGTTGCATGCTTGATCCACTCTGTGGAACATGTAGGAGGCAGCCAACCAATGAGTCTCTCTCATCATTGATGTTTCTATCTCTGTCTCCCTCTCTAAAATCAATAAATATATATATATATTTTTTTAAAAGGTAAGTGAACATAAAGTAGCAAAATGCTTTTAAAATTTTTTAGGTATCTGCACAAGAAAATGAACAGTTTTTAGGCATCAACTACATACCAGAAACTGTGCTAAACAGATCCATTTATATTGTCTTATTTAATTCATATTATAACGCTGTTGAGATAGGATGAAGGAAGGTCATGAGAATGACAGGAGGTTCAAAAGATGACCATTCTACTTAGGAAGCTGCTGAGCTGGGGGTTGGGGCAGGACATTCACCGGGAATATTCATGTTGCCAGAGAGCTGGTGCTGGGAGGAAGGGTCTGTCTATAGCACAGGGTCCCTCTGTCTGAAACACTTTACCCACCACTTTGGTTTCCTTACAGAGTTATTCCTTCATACCCTTCAGATTTATGTAAAAACTCTCTTCTCCTCCAAAAGGTCTTGTCTGATCATGTCAACTAGAAAAATACTCCACAATTCCACAGTCCATACTGACCTGAGTCCCCCCTGGTATCTTGTCTCCTCTATGCGAGCACATCAGGGGAAGACTAACCTTTGGTCAAGGTAAGCAGCCGGCCTGAGGAAGCCAGGGCACAGACTCACTGTCTCCCTTCTTGCTAATATCTTCCTTGCCTCTGATTTCTCATTAGCCAGGGGATAACGGGCATGGGACTCTATTGATGTAGTTCACTCAAAAATTAGAGTGAGGGTAGAGAAACTGTATTTGGAGGGATGTGGTGGGTTGCTTGTAAGAATGTCCCAGTTTCCACCTTTCTGTGTTTCCCAACTCTTTGCAGCTTGATTTTGCAGCTTTGCCCATGGAAAAGTTGAGTTTGTTTTCTTATTTCTTGAATCTCGACTAAGCTGACTTGCTTTGAGCACTAGAATATGATGGACGTGATGCACCATTTCCAACTCCAAGCCTCAAGAGACCTCCCACACTCCCACATGAGCTCTTGGAACACTGCCGCCACGTTGAGAACTAGCCTTGACATCCTGCTGGCAGATGAGAGACTCTGTGGAGCAGAGATGTGCTATTCCATTAGAGGCCATCACAGACGAGCCAGTCCCCAGCTAACACAGCAACCGACTGCAGTTGCAATATGACACCAGCCAAGAGCAGGACTGTCCAGCTGAGCCCAGCTCAAACTGCTGACCCTCAGAATCATGTGCAAAAAAAATACATGTAGTGCTTTAAACATTGGTTTTGGAGTAGCTTGTTTTTCACCACCATAGAACTAAGTTACTAATAGGGAGCACTGGCACAGTGATCAAAGATTATTTGTCAAAATTAATGAATGGCCAATTTTTATTTCTTTATTTCCAACATAATTTTACAATATTTACTTTCATCTAATAAACACAGCCATATTATGTTTCACAACATATGTAACTGTTTTTGTGGGTGCTTGAAAGTTATCTCACCTTTTTAACAGTTGCAATGCGTTCCCCCACTAGGACATGATAGCATGGCTTTAGGGTGTGGGGCAGCTTAGGTTCATTCCCATCCTCCCTCTACATTTATGTTCAGGTGGTTA